ACCTTTTTCTCATTGTGTCGACCTATCGACGTCCATACGGCGGTTCAGAGACTAGAAAAAATAGCGCAAGGAAAGGAAAAAGGAGGGGATCTCTCTAGGGGCTTCAGGATCAAGGGGGGATTTCCTCCCCCTTCGGCGGCCGGCACACCCGGGGTCTAGTTCCGGGGTGGGGGGCCGGATTCTGTTCCGGTTGCCCCTCTTTCAAGCCAGCTTTTTTGTTTGGCCCAGGGATGCAGTGGAGGATTGGCCAGGTGCTTGGGCCCCTGCCCCCCATGGGAGGCCAGGAAAAGCGCCTTGGTCCCTGCTCCTGCCATCGGATCCCGCCGGTGCCCCGGCTGCAGCGGCGGCCATTGGAGGGTGAACCAACGGCAAAGGAAGACCTTTCTCTCTCTGTCTCTCTCTCTCACTGTCCACTCTGCCTGTCAAAAAAAAAAAAAAAAAAGAATCAAGGAGGAGCCCGGCAAGCTCCCAGGGTTCTTGTGCCCTCTGCGCTTTGAGAAACTCCTGAACTCAGAGGAAGGTCTGAAGTGAGGGACGGAGGAGCAAATGAGCCTGGTGACCCCAGAGCTGGACAGCAGATGGAAGGAAGATCGGTGATTGTGCTGCCCCAGATTTGAGGAAGGCAGTGCAAAGGAGTGAGCCCTGGAGAAGTGGATGCAACGTCCCTAAACCCGGATTGTCCAAGACAGAGCTTCTGTGCGCTAAGTCCGCTGGTCGGCTTTGTCCATCCGGACTGGGTAGGGAATGTCTGCCCTGCAAAATCATCTGGTCTGACCCAACCAAGACAGCTGCAGGTGGGACTCGAAACCCAACAGATCCATAGCAGGCTAAGTTTAAGTTGATAATTTTGTATGGCCCACGAGTGATGTTATGAATGTCCAAACAGTCCCTGTCAGAGACCAAGGTTCCCAACTCCTGGAGCACGCCACGTGGTCTGCACCTGCAGAAATGCCAACAGGGGCTCTGAACATTTCCATGCGTTCATTTCCTTCCTGTAGGTCAGGTGTTTGTCTTTCATTCTGGCCAGCCCTAAGGTGACATGCTCACTCTCTCCCAAGTTTCTCTACATGTCTGCATGTCCCCTTTGCCTTTTATGTCAGAACAAAGCCCAGGATAGCAGGGCTCCTTGTGAGCCTGTCAGTCACTCGAGCAAAGAACTGTTCGAGATATCCTGTCATGTCTGGGAGACAGCCCTGGGGTATCTCAGGAAAACACGGGGCAACAGGAAAGCTGGCTGCTGAAGGGCTTTGCAGCATCCCACTGGTCCTGCGTGTGAGCCTTGTCTGTCCCCTCGATCGCTGGACTTGCTCTTACCCCAACAAGGGAGCACGCTGTTCATCGTGAACTTGCACCCTCGCCTTGCCGTTGCAGCCCACAGCGTGGTCCCCATCACTCCTGAGATGGCCCTCCCAGGCCCCGTCTCTGCTCAGCCTCTCCAAAGGCCTGTCCACCTCTGCTCCCTGGCCAATGGAAGCCTCAACTCTCATCTCTGAGGAACGGCTGGGCTGGTGCCTTAGTTTTCAGAATAATTACAGACATCGCCTTCTATGCACGGATTTATCTTACCTTCCATTCCTATGCATTTGCTCATACTCAATATGGTACTCATACATGTTATAGGGGAGAGAGGAGGGAGAGGGGCTGGGAGAATGGGTATGATGGGGAGAATCAATATACCCCTAAAGTTGTATGCATGAAATGCATGAAGTTGGTATTCCTTAAATAAAAGTTCCTTTGGGAAATAAAAAAGCTGTTCCCAGATAAGACTGCTGAATCTCTATCTCTATTTTAGATAGTAAACATACCATCAACTGTTTTCAACAAAGAATATTGTTTCTGCGGCCAGCATTGTGGCGTTGTGAGTTAAGCCATTTCTTGAGACACTCGCATCCCGTATTGGAATGCCTGGTTTGAGTCCTGGCTGCTTCACGCTTCCTATCCAGCTTCCTACTAATGCATTCTGGGAGGCAACAATGATGGCCCAGGTAGTTGAGTCCCTGCCACTAACGTGGAGACTCGCATGGAGATCCTGGGTCCTGGCTTTGTGCTGGCCCAGCCCTGGCTGTTACAGGCATAGGCATTTCAGGCAGCAAACAGGAGATGGGAGACTCCCTCTCCCTCCTCTCCCTCTCCCTCTCCCTCTCCTCCTCCCTCCCCCTCCCCCTCCCCCTCCCCTCCCCCTCTCTCCCACTCTGCCAAGTAGATACAAAATCAACATTTAAAACATTTCTCAAAGGCTGAACAGTTTTTTTTCATATTATTTGTTGAACTCTTTACTTAATATAGAGTTAATCATTGTATAAAGTTAGTTTAAAGTAGGTCTTAGTAAAAAATAAGAATGGGAAGAGGAGAGGGGGGAAGAAGAGGGGTGAGAAGGCAGGTACAATGGGAAGAATCCTCATGTTCCTAAAGCTGTACTAACGAAACGCATGAAGTTTGTATTCCTTAAATAAACGTTTTCTGGGAAAAAAAAGAATTTTCCTCAAAGTCTAATTTTCTGGGTTATATTTGCTCAGTCATTGCATTGGTGGCAATAATGCAGAGCACCTGCTACTTTGGTAGTTTATATTATGTATTTATGTTATGTAGCTTATTACATAATGTGTTTCTGTCTACACAGTACTATGTTAAATTTGAAATTTTTGGTCTATACTTATTTAGGATCCTGAAGTTTTAGCAAAAAAGACAGAGAGGTTCTTAGTGAAGCAAGATGAAGCGTCAACATTTCTTAAGAAATTTGATGCAACAGGCTTGGTGCACCTACCCGCTTACTTCCCCAGCATTGCTGTCCAGGTGGACGTGGTCACCTTCATGTTACACATGGGAACTGGGATTCGGGAAGCTTGGTGCAGAGTCAGGCGGCTGAGAGTTAATGCCGCATCGGGCGGACTCCAGAGCCTGGGCTGTCTTCCGAGGTGCGCCCTTCTTCCCCACCTGCCTCCCGACGGGCTGCTCACTCCACTGCATCCTCCCCACACGGGCTGACATCAACAGGTAGGTGTACGAGGGCTGCTAACCCAGCACTTGCACGACTGGGGGCAGGGGGCCCTTGGTAGATGATGAAAATCACAATTCCACCTGCTGGAATAACTCCCCTAAACTGTGATCAAATATTTTGTAAAAACGTCCCACAGGCATCGTGATTGTGTTGAGTCTGTTTTAAATCTTAGTTTCCAAAAGCTAAGCATGCCTTTGGCTGCCAGCGTGTTTTCATGTGAGATGTGTCGAGTTGTTGATTCAGAAAGTAGCTCACCATATCCTGGGTTTCAATTCAGAATTCTCAGAGCAAAAAGTTCTTTCAATTTCTCCTTAGCTGCTGTGCAATTAGAAAATGTGTCGCACAGGAGGAGTTGTCATGAGAATGTGTCTTATGGAAGACCTACGCGTGGATTTCAAACAGTTTTTGCACCAGAAATAAACTTATCTTCTAATTCTATTTTCCATAAACTTCTGGCGGCCCTCTGGTATCTTAGGAGCAGTGAGACTGACTTAGCACTCCTGGTTACTTAATCTTCCGAAGTGAAGGCTGCCTTCACCGAAGGAAAAGCTTGTGCAGAGGAAATAATGAGGACAGAAGCAGCTCTGAGCGCTGTTGCTGCTTTTATCTATTTTTAACTGATTGTCAGGCGTCCGTGACACCTTTGACCCGTGGGTTTAAAGTTTAGATGTGTTCATTAAAATGTAACGCGGCACTAGTGCCATTTTATCAGCAGATTGGTGGGGGGGGGGGGGGGATGGCTGACTTTCTGCCTTTAAAAAAAAAACCTATTGAATGACTCAATGAATGTGTGTCAGCCATTTTGACATGGCTGATAGCTCTTCAGCAGTGCTCACGCGGGGTTGTCAGACGGGACCCCTCTGTGTCCACCCGTAGCGGGGAGGTTTTCAGTCATTCAGATCATCTAAAGTGAAAGGAGTGACTTTTGGCTCAAATAGTTCCAGAAGAAGAGTGTGGGGCCTGGCTCACCTCAATTTTTTCATGTTACCTTGCAAAGATTTTCCAGATTACCACTTTGAATTACTTTGACTCATTCTCTACACATTTCCTTTCTCTGATTGTTAAACATTCCAGGAGAGAAACTATTTCAAATACTTGTCAGACCAAAATAAACATTAAAAAAAATAGCAATTTTCAGAGAAGGGTCAAAATGGACTTCAACCAGCAGACCATGACTTTAAAATCCTGTGTGCCCCAGTATCCCATGCAACCCCTACTTGTTTCATAAGCAGCCAGTCTGCTTTGGTCTTCGTTGTAGAAAATGTAAGCCGCTCTATATCTAAAGCACAGCCAACCTGCTATAAAAGCCAAGTTCTGCATACTTACTTTTCAATACACTGTGTCCAGGAGCTGTAAGAGGAGGGCTGGCTTGGTGGTGGACGCCCCAGGCTGTGTGCAAAGCATTGATTGGGTGTTTCTGTTCCTGCGACAGAGATTCAGAGGAGTCACAGGGATCAGGGTCTCTGCCATGAATTGGTCAAAGCCCGGCTGGGTCTGTTTCCAGAAAAGCTCCAGTCTTCCTAAACGGGAAAGCTCCGTGCCCAGGGCAGTCCTGGAAGAAGAGCATTTTTCCCTGCCCTTGAGTGAACTAGGTCATTGCTGAAGCTGGAGAAGAGTTTTTAGCATCACTGTGATGAAACTTGAGGGCTGTCCCTGCAGTAGGTGTGACACTTGTTGACGCCGCAGCCCGGGAGGCCCTGGCAAAGGGGCCTGCTGAAATGCAGCCCCGGAGAGCTGATGAAACACAGACGAGTCGTGGCGGATTGCTCCTCCGCTCCCGTGTCCCGGGAGCGTTCTGCAAAGCCCAGACAGGACCTGGGGGTGTAGCTGCTCGCCTCTACAGAAAGTAAAACCCTACTGCCTGATCAGTGATTCTGGCCCAGTAACATAACCGCTTCTCATACCCAGGGTATCAGGCATTTGAAGTGCACAGAGGAAACCCGAGGAGGGGGTAGAGGGAGGTGAAAATAAGAGTCATATGTTGTTCATTTAGAACCTGGATTGCGTCGTCCTCTGAAGCCCTCTGAGCAAAACAGAGAGGCTCTATCCACCCTCCGCGCCCTCCCATGCCTGCCCCTAACTCTCCATCTGTCCCCCACACCCCGCCCCCCTTCCCTCTCACACACCCTCCTCCTATTTTGACTACAGCACTAAGAAATAAGAGAATAAACAAAACTCAGAAAAATCGCTGCTCCGGGCCCCATTCCTTCAGATGGTCCAGGGTGGTTCTTGTTGACTCAGTAGATCTGTATCCTGGCCATTTCCTGTATTGAATTGGATCTAAGTGTTCAAAAGAATGCAGAAAATCCAGACTTTTTGTCCTGCAACCCCTTCACCTCTCTACACATGTATTTTCATGCTTGGCACCTGGAAACTGATAGCTTAGAAAGAAACCTCTCGTGAGACTCCCAGACACAGCTAAAATTAGCAGCTCCGAGTGGGTGACTTTGACCGGGACACAGTCAATGTTCGCTTTGTGATGAGCACTGTAATTCTCAGAAGCCGTGTTCTTACGAAGCACATTGTATCACTGGACCTGCACGGAATGGAATTTGTCACAAAAAAAAAAAAACCCTATCATCTAGAATGATTCAATATCAAGTCACATACTGTCCAGTTCTGTGTTTCAATTTGAGCTTCAGATAAGAAGGAAGCGATTCGAAGCTGAGACACTCTGAAATAATGGCTGTCTCTTTGGGAGCACAGCCACGAATGCAGCAGAAGGCAGAAAATGCAAGTCTTTGATTGTGGGGTTTATGTAAGGCTGGGGTCTTCGTGGAATAAGGTCTTTCCCAGCCAGGGCGGGGATAATTTTCAGTTGTGCATGAAGAGAGCAGGAAGGTGTGATACCAAGAAAAAACAAATGCTGTCACGCACAGCAGGAGAGGAGAAAGCCAGAAATGAACAAATGCCCAAATGCAGTAGACAATCATGGTATGGTTTCCGGGGAGGGTTGCCTAGGAGTTTATAAATGGGAAGGTTGAAACTTACTGCCAAACTCGGTTCTGATCCTCACAAACAAGTTGAAAAACCAATTCCTTGGCCAGCGCCGTGGCTCACTAGGCTAATCTTCCACCTGCGGTGCTGGCACACCGGGTTCTAGTCCCGATCGGGGCGCCGGATTCTGTCCCAGTTGCTCCTCTTCCAGTCCAGCTCTCTGCTGTGGCCTGGGAATGCAGTGGAGGATGGCCCAAGTACTTGGGCCCTGCACCCCATGGGAGACCAGGAGAAGCACCTGGCTCCTGGCTTCAGATCAGCTCAGTGCGCCGGCCGCAGCGGCCACTGGGGGGTGAACCAACGGTAAAAGGAAAACCTTTCTCCCTGTCTCTCTCTCTCACTGTCCACTCTGCCTGTCAAAACAAACAAACAAACAAACAAACAAACAAACAAAACAGTTCCTACATCTCCCTCCTGATAAAATAAAGGTAAGGAGCAGAGGAATGGATTTGACTCTGTGTCATCATTCATCGATTAGCCTGCAGCTGTACAATTTCAGTTTCAGCCTCAGGTTTGGGGGAGCAGAGGGGTAGGAAAACCAGAAGCAGAGAGTTTAGGATTAAATTTAAGTAGGCGGGGAAACTGTGCTGTGGCATAGTAGGTAAAGCTGCCGCCTGCAGTACCGGCATCCCATATGGGCACTGGTTCAAGTCCCGGCTGCTCCACTTCCGACCCAGCTGCTTGCTAATATGCCGGGGAAAGCAGCGGAAGATGGCCCAAGTGCTTGTACCCCTGCACCCATGTGGGAGACCCCGAAGAAGCTCCCGGCTTTGGATTGACCCAGCTCTGGCCGTAGGGACCATTTGGGGAGTGAACCAGTAGATGGAAGATTCCCCCCACCCTTTCTCTTTCAGCCTTTCTGCTTCTGCCTCTGCCTCTGTAACTCTGCCTTTCAAATAAATAAATAAATTTTTAAAAAACCAGTTTTTAGGTAGACCAGGACACTGGCTCTAGATTTTCTGGGATTATGCAAAGGAGGGAGAGAAGGAGTAAGAGGTTGATGAGAAAAAGGGTGGGTGTGTTGGGACCCCTCTGATAGCATCAAAAGTGATTGCACCTGTGATTAAAAGCAAACCCATCACCCCAAGTAAAGCGGTAAGGACTGTTAGAAAATATATTTAAGCAATCTCTGAAGTTAGAAGAGAAAAACTTCATTTGTCAGGAGATTTTCCTTTTATGGAACAGAGTTGGAAATTAATCTGTATCAGATGTTTCTCTATTCCTTCTCTAAGTCCTTTTGGATTTTCCCAAATTCCAATTGTTATTTTCTCAGCTTCACAAATGAATGGATGGGTGTTGTCCTCAGCCTTGAGAGGACGGAGATCTGGGGAGTTCCTAGCTAATCTGAATACTTCAAACCAATTTATCGGGTGCTCACCCTGCTCTGCACTCCCATACCTTGGGCTGGGATCGGTACGTGATGGGTTTATCTGCTCGTTTTATTCCTCCTGGCACGGAAGGTCCCTGAATGTTGGTGTAGAATGGCACAGATGATGTCATGCCCTTCCCAGCTGGGCACATTCTTGGCCGAGGCTGGGTACCAATCACATGTCAGATCAGAGCTTCTGCCAGGGTCCTTGAGCCCGGGCTGGAGCTGAGCAGATCACTCTTGCTACAGAGAGCTGTCGCGTCTGGGGAGGGTCCCCTGGCACCAAGAGCACCAGCTCCGCTCCCTCGCAACGGTCCAGTCTTAGCCGGGCTCCAGGGGTTCTGCTCCTGGACAGGACCTGAATCGGGCACTTGCAGCCTTCACTCATTCCCCTGTTTGGAATGGCTGCCAGACACTCAGGTAGGTTCACAGAACAGGCATTTTCTCCCTCATTGTATTGTGGCAAAAAAAAAAAAAATAGATAAGACTGTGTTCTCTCCTGGTGTTTTTCATCCCAGGTAGCAGACTTCTACATAATCCTTCACGAGAAGAAGGAGCTTACAAGTATTGGCAAATGACAATCAAAAATACAGTTTTATGAAAATAAATAAAAGAATTGATATATCTTTCGACAGGGACTTTTCCAAATAAACACAGGTTGTTTGGAGCTTGGAATTCATTTTCCCTCAGGGTGCCAAAATTGTAAATTGCAGTTAAGGTTTATAGGGTGCATTGAGTCAATCAAGTTCCCAGAGTACTGTATTTCAGTTATCTAAGCTAAAACATCAAAAGTAGCATAAAATCAATTTTAACTAAATGTGAGAGTTTTGGAAAAGTACCCAAACTTCCAAGATGAAATTCTGTCACAATTTATTCCAGTGCTTCAGTTTCATTTTCTAAATGTGTGTGTGTGTTCATTTTATTTGAAATGCAGAGAGATAGAGACAGAGATAAAGATCTTCCATTTGCTGGTTCACTTCCCAAATGCCTGCAGTAGCTGGGGCTGGGCCAGGCTGAAGCCAGGTGCTTAGAACTCAGACCAGATCTCCCACGTGGATGGCAGGGACCCAAGCGCTTGAGCCGTCACCTGCTGCCTCCCAGGGTATGGGTCAGCAGGAAGGTAGAATGGGAAGTGGAGCTGAGACTTGATCCCAGATGCTCCGAAATGGAATGCAGACATCCCAAATGGAGGCCTGAGCACAGCACCAAATGGCTACCCCCAGTTTCATTTTTAAAGACAGTTTTTAAAAAAAAGCATTGCAAGCCCGCACCGTGGCTCACTAGGCTAATCCTCCGCCTGCGGCGCCGGCACACCGGGTTCTAGTCCCGGTTGGGGCGCCGGATTCTGTCCCGGTTGCCCCTCTTCCAGGCCAGCTCTCTGCTGTGGCCAGGGAGTGCAGTGGAGGATGGCCCAAGTGCTTGGGCCCTGCACCCCATGGGACACCAGGAGAAGCACCTGGCTCCTGCCATAGGATCAGCGTGGTGCGCCAGCTGCAGCGCGCCGGCCGCGGCCGCCATTGGAGGGTGAACCAATGGCAAAAGGAAGACCTTTCTCTCTGTCTCTCTCTCTCTCACTGTCCACTCTGCCTGTCAAAAAAGAAAAAAAAAAGCATAGCGACCCTCAGAACAGGAGCAAAATTCTACCTTTTATAAATTTGTAGGTTGAGCCCTCAGCTCAACAAGTAAAATTAGTGAAGTAAACCATTAAGGCAGAATGAAATACTTGGACAATGTATGAAAGTTAAAACTAAAAACATGTGTCTACGTTGGGTCTACGCATATTTCACAGCTGTTCATTTTGAAGCCTTTTCTTCTGATCCTAAGAGTGACAGCTACCAACAGTTTTCATGATTTTCATTGAAAACATTTCCAACTTGCCTCACCCAGAGACAGCCACCACTAACCCTGCTGGTGTATTTATTACCTTCAAATCTTTTCATTTTCCCTGCGTGCGTGCTCACACACATACATGCAGGCACAGAACTTTTGAATCACGATTATGCATCGTTTTCTTCTCTCTTCTTCTTTTTTTTTTTTTTTTCTCTTTCACTTGACATGAGCCTAACACTAGGAATTGCTCAGGAAAACCAGCTCATTTTTCTGTCACGTGAATGTGTTAGATCTCAGTCAATGGTCTGTTGTTAGAGATTTAGACTTCTGACTTATTTTGCTTTTGTAAATATGTATTCATTGCTGTATGTAAACCTTTGGGTGCATTGCTCTTAAGGAAAAATGTAATCTGAAAAGTGATGTTAGTGGGCCATAAATTATGTCTAAAGTTTTGAAACACGGTACCAAACAAAATTCCAGCAGTTGCATTGCATTTTGTTTTCATCAGCAGGTATAAGACTCCCACTAGCATTTAAAATGTTTTTGCCAAATTAAGAAGTGAAATTTGTATCTCATCCTAATGTACATTTCTTTTAAAAAAAGTTTTATTTATCTGAAAGGTAAAGTGACAGAGAGAGAAACAGAAATAGAGAAGGAGAGGAAGAGAAAAGGAGAGAGAGAGAGAGAAATAGAGAGGAGATTTATACCTACTTGTTCACTCCCCAAACACCCTCAACAGCCGGGGCTGGGTCAGGCCAAAGCCAAA